TACTTAACTCAAAACACATCTCTGAGGTAGAAGAAATCCCTGTTTTGTAGACTTGAAAACTGAGGCACAGAGATGAAATGTTTATTCAGTGTCCTTTGAAAGGCTGTGGCGTAGACAGGACTTGATCTTAGCTCTGGCGAACCTCAGTCCAATGCTTGATAATGACTCTTTTGTCATCTTACAGGTGAAATGCCAAAATCTCCTGCAGAGTTCCTTCTTGGTTTACTTAGGTAAACAATAATGATTTAGACTGCCTAACCTGAAACAACCCTGTAACCCTGAGATTTTGCTGCAAAAGATGAAGGTTTAATGGGCTTTAAAACAGTTCCCTGTACACAATGATCTAGTCTTTACCTACTGTCTTGCTCACCAGATGCAGAATACGCTTTTTACCATTTATAAAAGGCACAATGCTACTTGAAAGCCAGGAAGAATGTGTTTAGTATACTAACAGCTATTTTATCAAGGACATAAAAATAACAACTATTCTCAAATAGAGTTTGCATCTTACAGTTCATATAAAAATTTTCTCTCATTCTGCCCTTTTGCAAGCATTGTGTGTGTTAGAACTTCTACTGAGAGCAGAGCAGTGATCAAATGCTGCAAAATCCTCTGAGCACTCGATTCATTTTTGACTGCTGTGAAAGTTGAAGCTGCAAGACACTAAGTCTTAGCTGGAGCGGGTTTTCAAAGCCTTGTGGATATTATAAGATAATTTACACCAGGCAGTGATCAGGATGAGGAAGGACCATGAAGGGTTTTGGGGTGCCGTATTCTGTCGTTTTAGCGCACAATTTATTGTTACTTGTTGCTGCTGCTTTGTCATTGTTTTTTCAAACGCACTGAAATCAGTTGAAATATACTAATTTATGGCACTGGGCTTTTAAACACATCTGAGAGAAGCTCTGAGAGACAAGTAGATTTTTAATACGTGAAAGGGACGTTTGTTTCATTCTGGTCAGAATTCATTAATTGCTGGTCCCCACTGAGTTGGATATAGGCCAAAACAGCAAACATAACCAACTCCAGAATAAAAGCAATGCAGCTACCTTGGATGTAGAAAGCTACAAAAGATGCTTCAGGTTCTCTGATCTCCCTCCCCCCAGCTGCGTTGCTGTTTTATGTGTTCAATTTGGGAGAGTCATGCCCTGAATGCTTTTGCTGGTGACATCACCATTTATTCTTCCTTCTGCTCATTTGCAGCTACTTTGGAGCTGCTGTTCTTTCTATGTCACTCCCCCCAGTATTTAGAAATTGCAGTTTCCTCAGATAATAGGCCATCTTGACAAGAAAAGAGTGACACAATCAGCTGTCAGATACTTTTCATTCCTGACTTCCATGCCAAATCTGACGTATGGATTTTGGGATAATAATGTGTTATCTTAATTAGGTGTATCTTCAAGATGCATGCTTTCTTACAGATAGAGTGTATGAAACTACTGCAATGCCTTGCCAGGGTATCTTTGAAATAAGATTCCCTACTCAAGGGTTTTCTTCCTTCTTAAATAAATAAAGAGTAAACGAACAATTGCAGAGTCCAAGTCTGAATCCTAACGCTTCCTGTTAAACCCCGCAAAATAGTGCAAGAAACATGTTTGGTCTGCTTTCTCTAAGGCTTGATGATGTGATAGAGAAGATGTTGTATGTAACATCAAAGAGTGGTGTTGTTATACCTCTGAAGCATGACTTCTGGAAGCCCAAGTGCAATAATATATGTCCATTTTTCTCTTGAAAATGGCAGTTTTTAATAGGCTTGGATTCTTATCAGAAATTTTCCAACGATTTCCTCCATTGTGTGTGTGTGTACTTTTTTTAGAGTGGCCAAATTTCTCTCACACTTCCTAAAGCCCTGTTAAGTGACTCCCTGCTGGGTTTAGTTAAGAGCAGTGCTGAGCAAATTGCAAGCTGCCAAAACCCAGCCAACAAACCACTGGTGATGAGCAAATGTTTCTGCTCTTTAAGCTCGTGGTGAATGTCACTATTTTTTTTTCTTTTCTTCCAGCCTGTGATGCTAAAGAGGAAAATGGTTAAGTTAGGATTGTGAACAGGCCTGAACAGTGTTTAGGACCTGAGCATACAGAGTGTGGGAAAGGATCAGGGTAGATCATAACTTTTGCACTTGAAGTCTATATATTCATGCTAGGATTAAAATCTTGAAGGCCGAGACATCATCCTTGAAATTGCCTCCTTTGAAGCTGGGTGTGATTGTCTAGGAGCAGAACTTAAATCTGTATATTTATTTATTTTTACTTAGAACCATTATAGACCAGTTTGTGAAAGACTATATAATGTGAAGCTGTAGAGAGACCTGCAGAACAGTGTATAACACACCAAAGGTAAGCTATAGGGCATGACTGGATTAACTTCTCCATGTCCTCTGCTGTACTGAATGCATTCCAAGTATACTGTATCTTCCTCCCTCTCCTCATCCAAAAGTAGCCTGAGGGGAACACTCTTGTCTGTTGAAGCATGACTATACTGTTCTTTTTAGTGTGTTCTCATGCTTGTCCTCACCTGAAGTCCATTAACTGTCTACATGACATGTTCATATGCTGGAACGCGTGGCAGGACTTAGGGCAAGTCAGTGCCTTTCCCAAGATGGGAGATGTTAGTCCTGGGGACGTGTTTGCTCCGTAGATTTTTCAGCAATGATTGACTACAGAGATCACTGCAGCGGTTAGCTCTGAGGCCTGCTGCAGTGTTGTGCTCTCCTTAGTAGCACGAAAGAGATTTAATGAAAAACAAAGCTAATAAACTATTAAACTGAGACAAAGAAAGTTGTAATGGTTATGAATGATACTGAATTCCATGTTTGTCCTGAGAGTGGGTTGTGTTTTAAAGGTGGGAGCAGGTGACTGATTTTCATCCCCATTGTTTTTCTTCCACAAGCAATTTTCAAACTTGGGTATTCACCTGTAAAAAGACTATAACTATACCCCAGCCCACAAGCATACTTAATTATAAAACTCATTGAGGTCCTCAGATGAAAGACAAAGACCATGTCTGCATTAACAAAATGCAGATTGAAAGAGTGGATCTAGAGAGTGAAACAGCTGGTGGTGAGGACTCAGTGTCCTTGCTGTAGGTGTTTTGAGAAATAGTTCAGACCAGCTCTAGTTAGGCCCTGTAAACTGAATGCCTATGAGAGGCTGCAGTGTATTAAGTGCTCTGGAGCACATCTTTCAGTCATCTTTCATTTGAAAGAAATCCATTTTATGTGCTCTGAGACTGTTCTGCAATGCTAACTAAATCACAGTAGGTGATTTGCTTCAAAAGAGTGTTCCTGATCTGAACTAAAATACAAAGATATACAGACAAAATATCCTGTTTTTAAGTTGGATAAAAGGTGGAGCTATATAAATGACCAGAAATGTCTGCAGTTTCACACATGTAATACGTTGGAAATTAGTTTAATGTTACGTCTCGGGGTGTGTGAGCTCAATGAGATTTCCTAATAAGATTACCGTTATTTTTTGCGCTATTTAAGGTTTTGATTCAGTTTCATCAAATGCAGGACGCAGAAGTGCAGAATACTCTAGTGAAGGGGAGATTGTTTGGAAAGAAAATAATGGACCTGCAAATAGTCTGGTGAGGGCAGCCACTGGGAATGCGGGAGACCCAGTTGTACAGATTCCTGTTTGTTCAGCGTGGAACCCCTCCAACTGGAGAAATTAAGACATACTTGCCAAACATAGCCACTAATGTGCTTGTTATGAAGGCGAGTGTGGAGAAAGGGCTTGAACCTTCTTCCATGTCCTATCCCTAGGGAGGGAACTAACCACCAGCTTTTTGTGCTGGCAGGCAGGTCTTCCTTGTGTAAGCCCTCTGTTGTTGAGTGCTAATCCCACCTTGAACCAGGCTAATCTTTCCCAGGAGACATTGTGTTAAAACCAGTAAATTGCTATAACAAGTTTTGGTTTAAACAAATCAATATTTTCTAATATAGAAATATTTATTTGAAAAATTCCCGGCTCATTCTTTATGTTCTAGTCAGAAAAGTCACCTTGTACCTCACTCATTTCCCTGATGTCCCGGTTATAGTGGTGAGTCTAGTCTCCTTGGGTTCCCTCAAGCGTGTCATTTGGCAGAACGCTGCATATCTTTGTACTACTGAAGTAGCTCCTGGCTGTAATCATGGACTAATGTTATGTTAGTGCTGTATGTTGCAAAACAAAAAGCTTTGTGGTGGTATACAAGGTGTCTGTTATCTAATTATCAGTTAAAAGACTGGACGTGATAGTATGGATGAAGTGGGGGGAAGCAAGGAAACACTGAGATATAAATGAGAATTTGAATATATTACTTGTCAGGGCTTTGTATGTGCACTGTGGAGTAAGTAAGAAAGAAGGTTTAAAATGATGTAATAATTGATAAAGATACTATTTCCACATGACTAAGTCAACAAGATTATTAAATACCTTAATTCTAGAGTGCAGTACTGTGGGAGGAGGTTTCACAGCTAATTTAAAATATGATATGAATTTTTTGTGGATCTTGTATTTTACTGTAGATATTATTTAAAAAGGAAATGACATCAGAAGGAACAACAATTTATCTACTTATATTATGATAGTTGTATCTGCTTACTATTGATATCGTCATGTTGGATGCAGATGAGACAGTGCATGAGCTTTTCTTGCTATCAGGTTGATGCAGGCCAAGAAGAACATGTAGGATACGTGATGTCTTATAGATTTATTTAGCCAAACCAAAATCAAAAACCACCTGTGAGTGGTAGCTGCTGGTGATGGAAATCTAGGAAGGCAAAATATGTGGTCAACCCACTAATAATTCATCATAAATCATCTTATATAATGAGCCCATCAATAATTCATCACAGAGCTGATGGAAAAAGCATTGTGTGCTTGCTTTTTAAATTTATAATATAGTTCCCTATATAATGTAGTCGCCTATATAATATAGTCCTTTTCTCTCTCTCTCTCTTGCGCTCTCTCTCTCTCTCTTGCGCTCTCTCTTTTTTTTTTTTCTTTCTCCTTTAGGTTAGAGCTATGTATGCTGCTGGAGAATGAGCATCTTTTTGAACCAGAGACTAACTATGAATTATTTTCCTCTTCCCATGCTCTCTCTTACCAGAAGGTAACCTCTTTTCTTTCAGTCATTTCTTGATTTAATCAGTGTGTACGTTTTGTGATTTAGAATGATTTCTCCATGAATGAAGAGATGATGTAATATGTGGGGCTGAGAGAAAGAAGTGGTCAGGTACAATGTAAATTAAGGGATGGCCAGAGACTTGCCAGGAACAGCTGTCATAAACTCTAATGCCACTCAGAGCCTTAGAGTTGCGCAGGACTGGTGGCAAAGAATTTCTTTGCTTAAATGGGCTATTATAATCTGCTCTCTCTCAACTCTGTGGATAGAAGAAGAATTATATTTAATTCTGTATGGGTTAACACCTCTGTGAATGATGAATATTTGTAACAGCTTTCAAACTTGAAAAGCATGTAGCATTCTTCCCTTTGATAGATGAATAAAGGATTTTTAGGAATAGTAAACACGAAGTGTGGTAAAAGAAAATCATGTGTTACCAAAGCAATTCTGGTAATGGAATTTTGAGCAATTTATACAGGCACAACTGGAAAGCCATCATATATTACTGAGGCTTGGTCTGCACATGGAAATTTTACTGGCAAAACTGTGTTGAGAAGGAGCAGGGCATAATTATGCATGGGATGAGGTGTCAGAATACAAATATGTGTTCCTGTGGAAGGTTCAGCTGATGGCTGATGCTAGTTTTGTTGCATTTTTCTGCACTATTCCACCATGCAATTATCGCTTAGTAACAGTGTGAAAAATCTCACCCCTAAGCCAATATAACTTACATTGTTGTAACGTGTAGTTAAAATATAGTTATGCTAAGGAAAAAAAAAACAAAAAACGAATCCTTTTTGTAAGTAAAGAGTGTTTTATGATAAAGAGGTAGTTTAAGCCTTACTGGCAAAAGAATTTATAAAGTTTGGACAAGCTCTGCCAGCATAGCTCTGCTAGACAACTTTTTCTTAGAGTGAAACTAGAAAACTTTTGGACATTGGGTTGTAATGTGCAGCACAGAAGGAAAGAGAAATGGATTTTTGCCTATTCCAGATAACAGTGGAGAAGCTGCCCAATCTGTCGCGTCTAACCATGCTGCTGAATCGCTACACTACAGATCCCCAGTATCAGCAACTCTTCATCAATCTGGTAAGACTGAAGCCAACTCTAAAAACAAACATTTCCTCCATGAACAATGTGTTTGTTATATTTTCTCATTTGTTTATGATGGCTGTGTCAGCCGCACTGATTTACATAAACACTGCCAATCCTGGGACGTTACATTCTCAACAAAAGTAGCTGAGTACAAACAGCATTCCGAAGTTTTAATTCATATTGTATAAACATAACAGATGTTGATAAAATGAGCCAAAAAGAAAATACAACAAAAGAGACCATTTCAAGGGGGCTTTTGATTAAAATACATTCCAGATTGACAAAATGATACAATGTTAATGGAATAGATCATTTAAATGTCATTATTTGGCTCTTATAGTCCTATAAAGCAATGCTTTTGAGTTTTCAGTCTCCATTAGGGTGCAGTGCCTATACATCAACTTACAAATAAAGCTATATTTCTTCCTCCTTTCCTCCCCCCTTCCCCAGTATGACATTGCCACATTTATTTCCTAAATACTGTACTAAAATACTGGGTCCAAAAGCAATAATGTGTTTGGTATACTGAACAAGGCCTAAAATAAATATGTTATAAACAAAATACGTGTAGTTTCTGCCTCAGTGAATTTCCAGTCTACAGCATTGAAACTGGGGTTGTGGTAACTAGGTAACCCAGAGCATAGCCTAATTTGCATGGGTTTTATTAAAAAAAAAAAAAACTGCTCCTGTTCATGATTTATTTTACAATGAAGACAGAACTGCATTTGAGAGCCATCTAATCTGGATTCCTAGTTTTGAGAACAGCTGGAACCAGAGGAAGGTTACAAAAACACAATATTCCTAATATCCGTTATCTAGTGTAGCTTTACAGTCTCCTTTTAATGTACATGGGGAAACTGAGGGGAGAGAGGACACATGGCTTACCAAAAGCCTAGAGGAGTCATACACAGGAGTATAATCCAGCTCTTAAATGACCACCTATTAGCGTTCAAGCTAATGGGTCACATTACCTTTTTGTTTTGGACAACCTATTCCACTCAGTTATGTTTCATGCTGATACCTAACTTTTTAGTGGTGGATATAGTCCCTGAAGCACAAAGTTTAGTATCCCTTCCAACATCTTGTTATTATCACTCTGAAAACTCTGTTATGAAAACTCTTTTTCTGTTATCCATATAAATGTATAATGTTAAGTCCTTCATCTTAATGATTTCCTGTGACAGTGAGTTCCACCTCAAATGTATAGGTGGTATAGAAAAAGCATACCTTTTTATCTTTAATTTTTTTTTTTTTACCTCATTATGCCTTTGAATGTCTCCTTAGTCCTGCTATGAAAGAGGGAGAACTGATGTGTCCCTCTATCCTGTGCATTTATTTATATTATTTTATCATATCTTTGTTTCATTTTTCCTTTGGCTGGGAAGGCATACTTATGGGAAGCAAAATATACCTTTCTGGACAGAACTTAGCCAGGTCATAAGTAAGACACTATACAATTAAGTAAAAAGTAGAAACTTAGTGGACACCTATGTAAACTATAAAGAGCAGCTTGGAAAACAATAAAATGGGTTTAGGCTCTGTTCATATCAAGAAATAGTTATAGCGCTCGTTGTGTTCAGTGACCAGAGTTTAGTACTTGCAGACCCTCTTCTTTTCAGAGCTATATGATTGTTTTCTTTATCCTCTTTCTTGCAGTCCATGTCTCTGTGTGAACTAACTTTTATAAGCATTTACTGCACAATCTTACAGGATGTCATAAATGGTTGTGTAATGAGATAGCAGCTATAAAACATCTTAAGACTTAATAAATATTGGGGTCATTGACTATTTCCAAATAAGAACTCAGACCATATCAATGGAGCTCAGCTTTGCTTTTCCAGCCTGTGAGATTTGGATATGTTCCAGTCATAATAGTTTATTTAGAGTGAACCTGATGGTTTAGCAAAAAAGAAAGTGTTTTTGTACTTTGGTATTTCCTGGTGTTTTAGGTATAATTGGGGATGGAGAACAGGAGGAGAAGAATGAATGTTCTTACTGACTCCTGTCCCTCTTGCCTACTACCTCTCTCTCCCCAGTCTCCTTCCTCCCCCTTCCCTTGCCACCCCTATGGCAGAGGTGCACTCACATTTTTTGTCTCCTCCCTATGTCCTCTCTCTTTGTCTTATAGGATCCATACATAAACAAATCGGCAATGTCAGTTCAATCTCATTTCTCGCTGCAACGAACCTATGTCATCTTTCGCACCCTGGGGCTTCGGCACCTGACTGTTGTTGACCTGCAGAACCGAGTGGTTGGGATAATCACCAGGAAGGATCTGATGCCTCTTTTGCTGGAGGAGAGGCTTAGGCTCCAGCTGGCACCACAAAGCCCTGATGCGGGTGAGCAGCCCTGGGATCAGAGAAGATCAGGCCAATGCATGTGTTCTTAGGCTTCATGACTTCTTTTCGAGCCCTTGTTCTTCAGGAAAAAATAATCAGAGCTTTTCCACTTTTCTGGACAAGAGATCCTTAAAAGCTGCTGTATGTAGACCTGTGGGATTGTAGCCCAGAGCTATGTCTCTTCAACTGCTTAGCGACTGCAAAAATCCATTGATTTAAACGCTTGTGAAAAAAATTAGGAATTTACGAGTTTATCCATCATATCCAAAATCAGATGTGAAGGATGGATGTCAAGAATGTTTTTGTCACGCTGTGAATGTGCCCCACAATGAAAAAATGTCAAGAACCTCTAGCAGCAAAGTTATGCTGGCACAACTTTTTAGTGAGGAGTAAATCAACCTTTGAGTACGTAAGTGGCTGTTGAAAAGGAGAATGTTTCCATATCAGCATTTTTATGATGAAATATATATATGTTTAATTGAGAGGAAATATTGCCTTGAGAGAGGGGTAGGCACCTGAAAGGAATGGGACTGGGCTTTCCAGTTGGCCTACGTGTGTTAGAAACTGAAAGGGAGAATTGTCCGTAAGAGAAAGATACTGACTGTGGGGCTTCTGCCAAATAACCATCACACTTTACAGTGATAGCAACTTGACATGTCTTTCTGCTGCTTTAATTTCTTCTAATGTCTGCAGCTCCTAGAATAAGGCTGTCTTTCTCTCCACCCACCTGATATAGTAATATTTTTAGTTCGTGAAGTTCATGTGCAGTAAGGTAAAGGGCAAATCAAATAATAGGGGAATGATCATGGTAAATTTGGAAGTAGTTTTTGTGTATATAGCAGCACATTTAGAAACTAGGCACAAAGTAAATAATTCTTCATGACTTTAGAGTCATAGATTATTTGAAACCTTGGAAACAATGCTAAGTGTTAGTTGTTAATAAATGAAAGTGTACAATTTTTTGGATAAAGAGACTATTAGATCCCCTTCTTTGACTATGTAATTGATGATTAATTTTATTCTGTGGAATACCAGAGGGATTCCCACAGATTTGGATATTAAAACCTAACATGTACAAAGGACTCCACCACTATTAATGTTGTTATAATGAATACCAAGGAAAACTAGTAATAATTTACTGATTATAAAAACTTGCCAAAATTCCTGAAAATAAATTTCTGGTATTTGAATCATGCAGCTTTAAGTCTCCTACAAATCAAAGATTTGTTGGATTTTCTCCTATTTTCCCTGCTGGATCTTGTCTTTGTTAACAGTAATGTTTCTTTTGTAGCGCCAAAGAGAATGCATAGCCCTTTTAAACTTACATGTCTAAGGCAACGCAAATACCTGGCAGCCCAGAAGCTTATATAGGTACATGAGAAAGGCTTTTTAAATTTGTCATATACAGGATGAGAAATGTCTTGCAGATCATCGAGGCAGGAGACACTGAGGTGAATTTTTATTTAGTTCCTGTTAAAGTTAGTAGTATTTTATTCATTAATACACTAATAAGGTCTTTGTCACTATTGACCTATGCCTCACCTATCTGAAGTATGCAAAGCTTTTGTTAAAGGAGTTAGGGCTAGATCAGTCTGGAGTTACTGGCTTCTTGTGTGCTAGCAGAACAGGACATCTAATTTAGAAACTTCTAGCACTTTCCCCAAAGGCAGCGAGAATGTCTTTTTCTCTTGATGAACCAAATCTGAAATAAGCCTGCTGTGAATTTGTGTTTTTGGTTCAAAGCCCATTGCTGATTTCCTTTTTCTTGATTTCTTGAGTACACAAAGTATCACCCTACTAAGACCTGGGTAATGTAACTTCTTTTTGCTGACAGCATCTGTGGCTAAATGCCTCAGTATGAACTGCAGTTGTGGTGTACTTTGCAGAGTATGAGGGCTGGAGGCAGAGCCAGGGTATCAGTGACTCATTACGTGGCTTTGAACAGGTCATCTAAGTTCTTAGTATATCATTTATTCTGCCTTTAAAATTGGAACAATGAAGTTGGTCCACCGTAGTTGCCGGGAAAAGTATAGGTGAGAAAAATATTATAGGAATATAAACTGTTTATAATAATATTTTGTGGAGGCCACTGATAGAAAGTGTTGTGATTTTTTGTTTGGTTTTGTTTTCCCTCTATTGGTGACAAGCATAATATCTAAGGAGAAGTTCATGCAGTGTACATGGAAACTCTGAAAACTATGTTGTGAGATTGGCACATGAAGGCATGCTACATTTTTCTATATGTTAAATCTAGTTCCATAGCTAGATGAATTTTTTTTTATAAAAAAAATGAGAAACATGAGAAACAGAATTCCTGACAGGATTTCCTGAAATAAGTGGCTTCTTTATATTCTAGACTCCAGTGACAAAAACCTGTCTTATCACAAAGCATAATAGCATGATACTAGCATGATACTACTACTAATAGCATGCTGTCATGGATGGCTATGTGCTTTTTAGGAAAGACAGGCCAGGAAGGCGAGGTGGTGGAGTTGCTCTTTATGTGAGGGAGCAACTAGAATGTATGGAGCTCTGCCTCGGGGTGGATGAAGAGCAAGTTGAGAGCCTATGGGTAAGGATTAAAGGGCAGGGTAACATGGGTGACACTGTTGTGGGGGTTTACTACAGGCCACCTGACCAGGAGGAAGTCATCGATGAGGCCTACTACAGACAGCTGGAAGTAGCCTCACGATCACAGGCCCTGGTTCTCATGGGAGACTTCAACCACCCTGACATCTGTTGGCAAGACAGCACAGCTAGGCACAAACAGTCAAAGAGGTTCCTGCAGAGCACTGATGATAACGTCTTGACCCAGGTGGTGGAGACGCCAACGAGGAGAGGTGCAATGCTAGACCTTGTACTAACAAACAAAGAAGGTCTAGTTGGAGAGGTGAAGGTTGG